TTGTGGCCAAAAAGGCTGTATACAGTATACTGTTTATCTTCACAAGGCGTAAACCAAATGAAGATTTGTTTAATATTTTAAATAAATGAATTTCAGCATATTATTTTATTCAATGGACAACTGTGACACGTCAGACACATTTTCTAGTGATATACATACTTATTGAAGAAAGCAAACTTATTGGACGGTAGCTAGAATTCTTCAAACAGCTCCAATACTACTACTACACTAGTAAAAATCCACACATAACTAATAGAAAATTTCTATAAAAGATTAAGCATAATATTCATTTGGCTACACATAATTAGATATCATGGAACAATACACATACAGATTATGTATCATATAAACAGTATGTGTGATCACATATAGAGATGATATGTGCAAGTGAGATTTATGTGTCTGGCTTATAGAAACTATATCATAAATATAATTGCAAAAATCTATGTGTTTAACACATAGAAACAATCATTGACTTTTTCTCAGTGTATTGTTGATAAATCAATACACGTTCATACCTGCCATTAGAAATAACTTTCATAAAGACCTGACTTTCATAAAAGTGCGAACTAAATATAAAATTGGTGTAGAAGACAAAAGCCTTTTTTTAACTTATTTTCTAAAAGTTCCGTTCAAGTTCCGCCAGAAGCTGCTTAGAATGCTCTTGGATTATGGTACCGGAACTTTCAAGTTCTTATAATGACTTAAAAAAGAGGCTGCTTAGAATTCTATAGACCATCTTCAACCAAGCTGCTTAGGCCACAAATAGCTTTTTATCAGAACTTTTGGTAACTTAGGGTTCCTTACTATTAAAATGTATGGACATTAATTGTAAAATTCTTTAAGTAATAAAACTCTGAAAAATTCCATATACCAGAAATTTTAAATATTTTCTTGGAGGATATTTTCAGGAGATTTAGATTTTTTTTAGTTGATATGTTGAACTTAATAACCATGGTGACCGCCCTATTTTGAATTTACACTTTGAGATAGACCAGCACAATGTCTGACAAAGTTGTAGAACTACCAACAATCAATACGAAACTATCGATTTTAAATTGGCTCACTACTTGACTAGCCTATTGGTCCCAAGCAAACGATTAACGTACCCCATTCTAGTCAAAATTCTAGTACTACACAATGTTTGTTTTGATTCACTATGAAAGTTTGACAGATAAAATGAGGGGTTATTGGATTTTCCTATGTTTCGAGGGGTGATTTGACTAGCTTGGGACCGAAGATAGTACCAGAGCTGAGCCAAAAAGTTGAGCACGTTTCTTCGGGACCTACTTGTCTTAGAGTTACTTCTATGGTCTTAGCATAGAGGTAACTCTAGGACTAGAAGGTCCCGAAGAAATGTGCTCAACTTTTTGGCTCAGCTCTGGTACTATCTTCGGTCCCAAGCTAAACGATTCACCCCTCGAAACATAGGAAAATCCAGTAACCCCTCATTTTATCTGTCAAACTTTCATAGCGAATCAAAACAAACATTGTGTAGTACTAGAATTTTGACTAGAATAGGGTACGTTAAACGATTTTCTTGGGACCAATAGGCTACTCAAGTAGTGAACCAATTTAAAATCGTTAGTTTCGTATTGATTGTTGGTCTTAGCAACAATCAATACGAAACTAACGATTTTAAATTGGCTCACTACTTGACTAGCCTTTTGGTCCCAAGCAAATCGATTACGTACCCCATTCTAGTAAAAATTCTAGTACTACACAATGTTTGTTTTGATTCGCTATGAAAGTTTGACAGATAAAATGAGGGGTTATTGGATTTTCCAATGTTTCGAGGGGTGAATCAATTAGCTTGGGACCGAAGATAGTACCAGAGCTGAGCCAAAAAGTTGAGCACGTTTCTTCGGGACCTACTTGTCTTAGAGTTACCTCTATGGTCTTAGCATAGAGGTAACTCTAGGACTAGAAGCTCCCGAAGAAACGTGCTCAACTTTTTGGCTCAGCTCTGGTACTATCTTCGGTCCCAAGCTAATCGATTCACCCCTCGAAACATAGGAAAAACCAATAACCCCTCATTTTATCTGTCAAACTTTCATAGCGAATCAAAACAAACATTGCATAGTACTAGAATTTCGACTAGAATGGGATACGTTAATCGTTTGCTTGGGACCAATAGGCTAGTCAAGTAGTGAGCCAATTTAAAATCGTTAGTTTCGTATTGATTGTTGCTTCTAGTCTTAGAGTTACCTCTATGGTCTTAGTCTGTCTGAAAAGACAAATCCAAAGAAAAAAACCCGAATTTATCCACCTATGGTGTGATCAGACCCTTCTTACTTATTCAAGTTTATTTATTTTATTGTCATTATCAGTGACCAAGCCCCCCACCCCCGTGTCATCCAGTGACGCTACGCCACTGCCTGGGGGTACCCGGAATATATCCGGGTGTAGTCTATTTGGTGAGGCTACCAATCACCTTATCATCGTATATTAATGTGATTTAATGGGTTTTAATTCAATTCATATTCAAGCAACTTCCCCGGGGTACCCGGAACATGTCCAAGTGTGTCCAATGTGGTCTGGAACACTTAACACGACTTGCATTGATCTTATTTTTGAATTCTGTAGTAATTTGATGTGTCGCATGATGGTTTTGATACGTTTTCCGTTAAATCCATATTCACCGGATCTTATTCCGGTCATATCTCCGGAACCGGTTCACCGATTCCAAAACCGTTCAATAGCGTTCAATGGGACCCCAAGACCTATCATTTGGCGCCGAGTTTGTCCAAATCGGTTGAGCGGTTGCTGAGAAACGTGAGCGCATTCATTTCGTTACATACACACACACATACACACATATACACATACACACGTACACACACACACACAGACATGTTCCGATCTCATCGAGCTGAGTCGAATGGTATATGATGGTTTTGATACGTTTTCCGTTAAATCCAGCGTGAAGGCCCATATTCACCGGATCTTATTCCGGCCATATCTCCGGAACCGGTTCACCGATTCCAAAACCGTTCAATAGCGTTCAATGGGTCCCCAAGACCTATCATTTGGCGCCAAGTTTGTCCAAATCGGTTGAGCGGTTGCTGAGAAACGTGAGCGCATTGATTTCGTTACATACACACACACATACACACATACACACATACACACATGGACACACACACACACACACACACACACACACACACACACACACACACACACACACACACACACACACACACACACACACACACACACACACACACACACACACACACACACACACACTCACACACACACACACACACACCAGACACACACACGCACACACACACACACACACACACACACACACACACACACACACACACACACACACACACACACACACACACACACACACACACACACACCCACACACACACACACACAGACATGTTCCGATCTCGTCGAGCTGAGTCGAATGGTATATGACACTCGGCCCTCCGGGCCTCGGATCGATAGTCGGTTTTTCAAGTGATATCTATACCCTTCTTTGTAAGAAGGGTAAAAAAAGTTCTTCACGTTTTATATTTAATAACCCATGATAGCATGCGTGGTGGGATTCTCGGCATTTGGCACCCAATGAGGAAAATTGATACCTTTTTGACCTCTATTACACCTACATGGCTGACTGGTTGATGGTTATGACAAATAAATATTTAATTCAGGTATGAAAAGATTTACAGAAATTTCAATACACCACATACTAGAGTGTGTTTGCCTGTCGTTGATAAGCTCATCAACAGCAGCCGTGGACCCGAGGATTAGCAACCAACAACGACATCAGTACACCCCAGATGGCATGGGATCGAAACTAGAAATTATGCAGATAAAAAATCACAAATAAAATCAGCAGTTGTGTATCGATATTTTGATTTTACAACAGAAATCGATAATTTGATCTGGCAACACAATCGATATTTTAACATTGGTAACGATTGGTAGCAATATTTTGAGAAAGATCTTTATAAACGATTCACAATTAGACTTTTAGCATCTTTACAATTATTCATGAAATGGAGACGATCGCTATCGATTTTTTCTTATGAATGGCTTTGAAGATCGATTTATAGAAAATTCAGTGCCAACATTTCAAAGGGGCGTAATTGCATTTGTAAACAATGGCTTTAGTCGTCGATTTCTCGCGAATAAAAGCTCACTCATGAAAAATAATGACACCAGCAGGTAGATGAATGTTTCCTCTATCAGCAAGCATTGTAATTTTGTAGAGGTAAGATTTCATTCGCGAGAAATTGACGGTTAAAGTCATTGTTTACAAAAGCAATTACGCCCCTTTGAAATGTTGGCACTGAATTAACGAAATGGTTGGTAGAAAATTGGTGCTTTTTACACATTTCCGAAAAAGTATGATGAATCAAAACTACCCATTTTATGGAGTACTCGTCAAATACTCATTAATGAGTAAAGTTGGTTTTACTCATTTCACGAGTTATGCCACTTTTCTTCGAAATGGGTACTTTTTTACTCATCGTTAGCGGTGAGGATTAGCGTGAGTTTCGGAGTTTTCTTATATGTGTCAATGATAAATTAAAGATTGCTTGGATTCAATATTATTTTATTACAAAAAAGAAATGCCATCAACAAAAATCAGTTCTCTTTCAGAAATGACGTTTGACTTCGATTAAGGTAGGCTACAGCCCATCTAAAGGGAGTCCAACTAAAACGTATAGCTCAATTAAAGGTAGCCCAACGAGAGAAATTCGACTGTACTAAATTCTAAATATGTGTATATTTCACACATTTAAGATCTCCTAATTTACACATTGTTTTTTGACAGCTGCGTATAAAAAATGGGTATAGTTTTACTCATTAATTAGTTTACGCTGGTTACCGTGTAGAGTTTGGAACAGCGCCATCTGTGTTAAAAATAACCATTAGTAAATGGTAAGTTGTTCTTATTTTGATTTAAATCAAACGAGCGTGAAAACTAGAAAATTAAGTTTGACATGTATCTGTTTACATAACAAAGAAGACCGAGTGCTGTGCGGAGTGCAAGGAGTGCAACTGGATTGGAAAGCATTGAGTTTTAATTGTAATTGTCATTTATTTATAGCGAATTCGTTTATTATCGGGGTTGGAACCAGTTCCAACCCAGTGCGAAACCGAACTTTTTGTCAGTGCGAACCTCAACCTGAGCTGGGTTTTAAAAACAAACGATCAAACTGACGTTTGTCAGAAAACAAGCAGACCCAATCTTGATACCCGATCCAGGTTGGAACTGAATAATAAACGAATTCGCTATTAGTTAAACGTAATCCTGGGGCATAAACTCTTTATCAAGACAATATTAATAATTGTCTTCAAGGGGTCTTCGTTAGAATAATTATTAAAAAGAGGCGTTCGCGAAACCTCCAGGGTTGTACTAAAGCCCTCTAGTTAAAGTATGGACGACTGTCACCACAAAACTGAAAAAAGCTGTTCCAATCGAGCAAAGTGGTGCATTTTGACGGTTCGATTGGAACAACTATTGACAGACGTCCATACTTTTACTGTATAGGGCTTTAGGCTGTACTCGTCATTTTGATACTAGGGTAAACGCACCAATAGTGGAGGTACGTTTTTTCTTCTTTCGGGACTTAACACCACTGCGACCATGTTATTTGATCAATGGTAGTATATCTCGTGTCCCTAGTTTAGTACATGTCGTATTACTCCATCACTATTAAGAAATGATGAAGTAGGGGAAATGGATGTAATGTCGGCCTAAATGCCCCTAATTTGGGCCCATACAAAAATTCAGCAATCGACTAAATTTTTAATAGTGACCAAAAATATCCAGTAGTACCGTCCCAATGACGCGTTCATCTAGATAAAGTTGATAAATAGCAGATTTTTAGCAAAGGGCCCAATCTTAGATCCATAGGCCAACATTAGAGCCATTTCCACTATCCATTTGATGTTTTTACGGTTTCATTTATTGCAAGGATCCGACTCTAATTGAAAGGTCCCGCTATTTATACCCTTCGGAGTGTTGAAACACCCTCCAAAGGCGCACCCCTTTGTCAGTCAAAATTGGATTCCTAAGCAACAAAATTAAGGAATGACACCGATAATGACCATGCATCAGAACCCTAGTCTTAATGACTTCAACCTAGGGAACAACGAATAGAAGATGAGGAATCACATAGATGAAGACTAACCGCATAAATGCCAACCATTCGGTGGGGATTTTTGTAACAAAAAGGCTTGAAATTGTCTGCCGCTGAAACCACACAGTGTAGCATATGACTTTCTTTGGGAAAAATGTCAAGAAATTTACTTAGCATATTTTGATTTGGCGCAAGCTGTGATAAGTGCATCTTTGGAGCTTATTTTGCCCCAAAATCCCATATTTTCTGTAGTTTTTTTTTTCACCATTATGATTCTTCCACAGACAAACAGACATAACACATTGGATATTTCTCACTGTAAAACATTGTCTCTCAAACTTAACCGCCATCTGCTGAGCACACTGTGGTGGGCAGTATGGCGTAACAGATGGCGGTATTGTGTAAACGGCAAACGCAAGGGAATTGACTATGTGCGCCACAGGTGGCGATACTACCAACTACGATACTTTTAAATTGAACGTTAAATGCTTGTTCGATGAACAACTTGCGAGTGTTATGTCTGTTTGTCTGTGATACTTCATTGATTCAAATTTTCAGTACCTTTTATCAGAAGTAGCCAATATGTCTTCTAGTATTCAGCTTGTGTCTTTTAAAAACTATTGAAAACATTCATACGGGAGCATGGGGTCAAACAAACCAGATTTTTAATAAAATATAAAAGTTTTCCGAATTTAAACTCAATATTAAAAATTTAAATATGAGATTCACAAGTTTAGTCTTTTAGTCACTCAGAAAGCGAAAATATTATATTATACAATGTTACAATGTGTGGTTTCAGCGGCAGACAATTTCAAGCCTTTTTGTTGCAAAAATCCCCACTGTGCATTGCTTGACCTTACCAAACATGGTTAAAAATTGTTTATAATCCCTGGAAAAATTAATTATATTAAAACCTTTTTATCTATGATTTGAGAACTTTAATGGTAATGGTTATGGTAGTCAGTAAGGTCCATTGATGGTTTTGTAACATCGATCAATTTTATGTGCAAAGGTTGTCTGTAAATTAATTATTACCTATTCGCGATATATTCCTCGTAAAGATGACCGACAATCAAGGAATCAAAAATATTTCCAAATGACAAAATGACAAGCGATCAACGAACCGAATAATAACGCTATGTCAGAAGTCGAAAGCAATAATGATATAATCTTCTTCGTTCTTTTTCATGACAAGCAGCCCGTGCGACACAACTCACTCGGGGCGGTAAAAGGAAACGAGCAAATTGTTGGCAAGCTGCTTCACGAAGTAAACCCGAAGATGATACACGTGTGTTAATGGGAATTTTTTTGTTATGTCTTTTCTCGATTCATATCAAGCTTTGTCCTCATTCGTGTATATTGCAACAAAGAAAGCAAGCAATATATCATTATCCTTCTACACTCGGATCGAGATATGTTACAGAGCGAGTTTGTCATGGTAGTCGTAGCAACCGTTTTGTCTGTATCGTTGGTTGCTTTATGTGTTTGGATTCGCTGCCGACAATACAAAGCCATCCATGGACCTTACTGACTACCATAACCATTACCATTAAAATTCTCTAACCTTAAGCAAAAGGGTTCTAATATAGTTTTCTTTCCGAAGATGTATGGCAAAGACAAGCATTTTGAATGGTAATGGTATAACCATTTCAGTTAAAGTTTAGCAAGGATTATAAACAATTTTTAACCATTTTCGGTAAGGTTAAGTTATGGTTCGCGTTTATGCGGGTAACTAAGTCATTTTTTCCTTGTTTCAAGATCATCTTCGGTGGGCAAAGCCGAGTCTAGTCACAAAAGGCATAAAAAGTAACAAAGACTACGATGCGTTCCTTTGATTACTGAAAAATCCTGTTTTCTAGTTTGAAGTAGTCAGGACTAAGAATCGGTGGTAGATCTTACATCCCGTAACGTACCACGAAAAGGTGATCTACCCACGTTACGGGGCACGGGAGGCACGTTAGTGTAATGTGTTTGGAGACTCCATAGGCCACTATAGGAACACATTTCACTAACGTACCTCCACTATTGGTGCGTTTACCCTATTAATCAATTTGGTCAATTTCAGCGTTTATTTCTATGGGTCACTTTTTCCTAAGTATTTTTTTGTTATTCACCGTTTGTATATTGTAAAACCTAGTCCTGTATAAAGTTTTCCGTTAATTTCAGTGAAAAATATGTACAAACTTAGGATTCTACAGAAAAATCAGCGTAATTTAAATCGTTTGTTTTGTTCAGAGGCAAGATTCACCAACATAAATGAGGCAACACAGTTCTTCTATCCGCTTTTGGGTCAGCTGTCTAAATATTTTATGAAATTTTTCAATAGTAATGCTAATAGAAGCTTTTGATTTTACAGATGTTAATGAGTCTACTATGTACAAGTACCTAGCGAAGCATAGTTATCTCGTGAATATGGAACCAGTGGACGTACGTCGTAAAGTTGCCTATTTCAGGTATTTGAATGCAACCAACGATGAAATTCTAGAGCAACCAATGCTGTTTTCATTGCATTTGATTACGATTGAAAACAGATCTACGATTTTACGAGAGTGTGGATTAGTCGAATCATTGAATCTGGTAGCAATATCCAAATACATCACAATCATAAGGCAGCAGATCAAAGCTTTAAAGAACAACAAACTCATACCAATTGATTTGAATATGATGGATCAGCTTAAGAAGCAATTCGATACAGAGGTTAATCCAAACATTAATTATAGTGATGAAATGCATTTGCAAACACTTCGAGAACTCTTTCTGAATGCATTTCTTCGTGAGAGACTAAAGCTTACCGATGAGGAATTCAAAAAGCTGTGGAAGTCATATTCCAAAATAAAACACAAAAGTTTTGGTCATACTCAGCGAGTTGTGGATATCCTTCAGCACAATTTGAAACTAACTAGAGAAAAAATTGTAGGAAATCTTTATCTCCTGCATTCGGATCCTGAAAATTTACTACGATACCCCGAGGTCGTGCCTACGATAGCAGGAATGGACATAAAGGAGGTCATGGTGAAACAACCGAAGGTCATGATGGTACCATGCGACAAACTAAAGCAGCTATTGGGTCATCTTCGGGAGTTTGGAATCGATGAGGCAGGGGTGCTCAAATATTCGACGATTTTAACTCTGTCGCCCAATACTGTCCTAGCACGATTAGAGCAGCTGAAGAAAACTAAAGAATTTGAAGTGCTTTCCAAACATCCTAGGATCACCAAGCTCATAGCGTATCAAACCAAAGCGGCCATCCGACTGGACTTTCTACAGCAGCTGAAAGTTCGCTGTGCCTCATTAAATGTGTTATCTAGTCATTCACAAAGCTTTGAAAAGTATAAATTGTGAATAGTGATCAAATGGGAAAAATGATTAATAATTATTTCCTTCTCATTGCAGATATGTTAGGGAAGGTTACGATAGAACGAATGGGAAAGACATTGCTCATTACCTTAATATGGTGTTTCAACAGCAAGGCACAGATGCCGTTGAACAATTAAAGCGACATCCAAACTGGTTTCATGTACCCGCTGTACAAATGCAGGAAACGCTCGATTACCTAAGAAGCAAAGAATTTTCGTTGGACGAGATATACGAGAATGTTCAAATACTTCTATACCCTCTGTAAGTACTCTGCATACTAAAAATATCTAAAGAAAAGTAATGAAACATTATGTAACGCAGGTCGCGAATCAGCCAAAAACTAGACAAGCTCATAGAGTGCAAACAAACTAAAAAGAGGCATGAGGATTTCGGAATAGAGCTGACTTGTGTGACCCCGGCACAAATGCTATCACTGTGTTTATACATGATAGAGTTAGATTTCCATTTTACAGGAGACGGCATTTGGCCAGACCAGGTTCAGCATAGCGATTCTTCCACCACTACAAATATTGAGCTACCAAAATCGTTAAACAAAGATTACAAGTATGGAAAGAAATCATCAATGTCAATCTGTGTTTGATGAATAAAAAGATAATGTTAAGTTAACTATACTTTAATATCATTTTTGTTTGTCATCGTTTTTATTTCTTGTATGATTTATTCAGCTCAAATACCCTTTCAGGTTTAAATGAAACTTGAACATATTGTGTAACTTTTCAATAGGTTCTACACAAATAATTATCGTTAGTAAAAAAACATTGGCAGAATTAAAAGTTTGCGTTGGTTCTTTTTGGTAGAAAGCACAAAACAGAAGTAGAACTTCGGATCAGAAAGTGACTCCACTCTTCATTGGCGAACACTAGTGCACCTAGCGGTAAATGACATCTTCTACCTGCAGTTAAGATAGGCAGTATGCTATGACTATGTGAGGGCACATAGAAGCCAAAATCAAAATGATGAATTCGAACAAAATGCGTCAATTTATTATTGTGTATTTTAATCCGAGCTCGAATCACAAAACTATGCAATGAGTAGAATTTCACCAATTTTTAAGAAAAGTGCCTTCAATCCCAGCTTCAATCATTTATTTAATAAAAACAAAACATTAATGAGTAGTTGTGATCCACAAATAAGTAGCGGTTATTCATTAATGATTAACAGTCTTGGTAACAGATGCTTATTAATGCGTAATGAGTGAGGTAATGAATTAATGAGTTAAGCCTCTATTCTGAAACTTTAAATGTAACAACTCAAGGCGGGAGTACCAACAATCAATACGAAACTAACGATTTTAAATTGGCTCACCACTTTAGTAGCCTATTGGTCCCAAGCAAACGATTAACGTACCCTATTCTAGTTGAAATTCTATTACTACACTATGTTTGTTTTGATTCGCTATGAAAGTTTGACAGATAACATCAGGGGTGTGTGGATTCATGCAGAACATGCAGGGGTGAGTGAAATAGCTTGGGACTGCTTGGGACCGTTGTTCTGGTACTGAGTGAGCCAAAAATAATAATGATTTTCTTCGGGACCCAGTGGTCTTAGAGTTACCTCTATGGGAGTACTGCACGTTACCATAGAGGTAACTCTAAGACTAGAAGGTCCCAAAATAACGTGCTCAACTTTTTGGCTCAGCTCTGGTACCATAGAGGTAACTCTAAGACTAGTAGGTCCCGAAGAAACGTGCTCAACTTTTTGGCTCAGCTCTGGTACTATCTTCGGTCCCAAGCTAATCGATTCACCCCTCGAAACATAGGAGAAACCAATAACCCCTCATTTTATCTGTCAAACTTTCATAGCGAATCAAAACAAACATTGCGTAGTACTAGAATTTCGACTAGAATGGGGGACGTTAATCGTTTGCTTGGGACCAATAGGCTAGTCAAGTAGTGAGCCAATTTAAAATCGTTAGTTTCGTATTGATTGCTGGTACTCTCTTCGGTCCCAAGCTAATGATTCACCCCTCGAAACATAGGAAAAACCAATAACCCCTCATTTTATCTGTCAAACTTTCATAGCGAATCAAAACAAACATTGCGTAGTACTAGAATTTCGACTAGAATAGGGTACGTTAATCGTTTGCTTGGGACCAATAGGCTAGTCAAGTAGTGAGCCAATTTAAAATCGTTAGTTTCGTATTGATTGTTGACGTTACTTCGGGACCTTCTAGTCCTAGAGTTACCTCTATGGTACTAGTCTTAGAGTTACCTTATGGTTTAAGCTTGTTATAGATAAGTAAAAAAAAGAAGATTTTAATTCTAGTAATAAACTGTATTTGTTTTTGCGTTGTAAAAATGAAGTGAGTAAAGGCCGGCGCACAATAGATACGTTTTCGGGTTTTTTGACAGTTAGCCCATGCATTATCTGTCAAAAAACCGAAAACGTATCTATTGTACGCCGGCCTTAATGCTCGCTGCACATCATTTTGACTAGAATGGGGTACGTTAATCGATTTGCTTGGGACCAATAGGCTAGTCAAGTAGTGAGCCAATTTAAAATCGTTAGTTTCGTATTGATTGTTGCTGGTACCACAAACGAAGTGACAGACGACTAACTGGCGAAGAAATCAATTAAAATAATGTGGTTCGCTGTAATAGAATTTTCTTAGAAGCTTGTGTCATCAGCCACCAGATGGGATAATATTTTTGTTTTGTTTTTGCACAAACTTGATTTTCTTCTTCTTTCCTTTATTTAACGTCGGTCTCTGTTCCGCAATCTAGTGCCAATCACCGACGGACATCGATTGCCATCCATTGACGGCAATCGAATGTGCAGGAAGGCAGCTTCCACACCTGCGTAGGATATCGTACCCATTCAACACACATGGGCCGGGACCAACGGCTTTACTTCCCTTCCGAAGGAAGACGTGACCAGAGATTTTTATGCCTCAGAAAAATCCCACCGACCTCGGCTGGGATTGAACCCAGACCCATCGGGGTGTTAGAAAGCAGTCACGCTTACCACTACACCACCGGCGCCGGCACAAAGTTGATTTTGTGTACAATGATTCTTTGACAGTGTGCAAAGAGTGTATCATTAGAGATAGAACCAAAACATTCTAGTACATTTGGTGAAAATGCTAGTTCAATCCAGTAGTAGCATAGAGGTAACTCTAAGACCACTTTGTCCCGAAGAAAATCATTATTATTTTTGGCTCACTCAGTACCAGAACAACGGTTCCAAGCAGTCCCAAGCTATTTCACTCACCCCTGCATGTTCTGCATGAATCCACACACCCCTGATGTTATCTGTCAAACTTTCATAGCGAATCAAAACAAACATAGTGTAGTAATAGAATTTCAACTAGAATAGGGTACGTTAATCGTTTGCTTGGGACCAATAGGCTACTAAAGTGGTGAGCCAATTTAAAATCGTTAGTTTCGTATTGATTGTTGGTACAATCCAGTAGTAGTGGTGTTGCCATAGAGATTGCTAAAGTGTGATTGTGTCAGTGATTTGTTTTCATCTGGAAAATTTTTCACTATGAAGTTTTTTTTCCCGATGAAAACATTTTGCGTATACGTATACGTAACGTAGTGTGCATACGATAAACGTCAGCAAGCTCTATGTCGTACACTAAAAAATTGTAATAGCAGGTTAGTCACCAAAAATTTCGAGCCACTCCGTCTGTCACTTCGTTTGTGCTGGTACTCTGGTCCCAAGCTAATCGATGCACCCTCAAAATATAGGAAAAGCCATAGACGATGTTTTATAAGAGACGCGCGGAGAGAATAAAAGTAAATCTGGTTGCACGGCCAGGGCTGTCAGCTGATCACATGACTTTTAATTTGAGCGAATACCTACTTTTTTGATCGTTTCGGTAGTATCGGTATTCAAACGAAGTAAGTAGAACACAGAGTGAAATCAAATATAGTACCCATATTGGAGCGGATATTTTACAGAGTGTTGCTCAAAGTAGTTATGCAATCTGCTGTTCATGCTTCCTACGTTCCTACCCTGTATGAATGAAAGATCGATTATTATTATTTTTCGAAGGGACGTATCTGCTTTTGTAAACAATGTATTTGCTCGTCGATTTGGCTTAACTGGTAGCTCACCCACCGAATGCATTGTTTACAAAAGCAGATACGTCCATTTAAAAAAGTAATCGAGAAGTTCCTTTTCTGAAGTCTTTCACCAAATTCATTGGTAATTAAAAAGCGGCGTTGTAATTTTTTAAAAATATTTGCTTTTTGGCATTGATGTAAATAACAACTAATCTCAAAAGATTTTACTTGCGTTTTATTTGTACTCCCAACGTCAAATAGTATCCAATTGCACTTATCATACGCAACCATTATGAAATATAGACACAATTTCATAATATAGACACTAATATATTATGAAATTGTTATGCATATGTTGCCTAACGACGTGTTTCGGGCATCATTCAAACCATTTGTAGAATAGTTCAATAATTTGGGTTATCATTCGTTTGTGGTATTTTTTTTTATTGGGAAAACTTAATTATAATTATATAAACATCAAAAATTAAATTTCAACCGCCACCTCAATACTCCTCACGCTTTTCCTTGTGAAGCGCTCGTGTTTATTTACATTGCTCGATTGGAACCGCGTTTGACGCGCGTCTCTTATTAAACATCGTCTCTGGGAAAAGCCACGAACCCCTTATTTCAACTGTCAAACTTTCATATCGAATCAAAACAAACATAGTGTAGTACTAGAATTTCGACTAGAATGGGGTACGTTCATCGATGTACTTGGGAGTCAATGTTATAATCAGGCTTGCAATTGCTCATTACAGCTAAAATACTATTTTTCGGTATTATGAAACAATGGGAAACTATAATGATAATTTTTATTTGTAAGATGCAAGAAGAGGTGGTAAAGTTTGTGTATGACATATAAAATTTGTCAATTTTGCTTTCAGAAGGTCACAACTAGCGATTAGCTGTAACTATGAGCAACGCGATGAGCGAGCAATCAGCGATCATAAAATCGCTAGTTGTGACCTTCTGAAAGCGCTGAGCGGGGCTTTGTGGTTCATCCACCCACGTGGAAATCGTTGGCCGTTCAACACCAACGGTCGAACACGCATCGATCGAAGTAGCATCGTCGCCGCGCCAGTAACAGCAGCGCAGCAATCATCAGCAGCTAAACCAACTGGTGAGTCCGTTCTGTTTTTTTCGTTGAGTGTGGCGTCCGGCGAGGGCGCCACGGAGGACATTTTTTTGCCGACCATAAGGTCGAAGAGCATGAAGCTAACATTTGGAGAAGTCCAAGAATTGTAAGGTTGGGTGTCGGTAAGACAAACGTGCGCACGTAACGTCATACATGGATGCCCACCCAACCCATCAATGTTAGACACCCGGGTGCCAAGCTTTGCCGTTCCCCGCTTGCTGCATCGTCGTGGGATTCGTCAAGAAGAGACACAAGAGCACAGCACAGATAGGTAATTACGCACACAAGGATAGGACCAGATAGAGAAATAGAATAAAGAGGAGTAGAAAATATACAAACAATGGAAATTTCGTAAAAGCATGCTTTAGTCAATAATAAAATCTCAACTTACCGTTTTTCGTTGTGAAATAAATGTTTGATTTGAAATTGATGTAATGTTGTTGATCAGTTCTATCCAACCCGGGGGCAACTTGACAAGTCCAGTACATTTCCAGTGTACTCCGAAAATTTGGTGCTGGTGGTTCTGTCAAACTCACAAATTTCAGAAGTGTTATCTGAATAGGGCGAATGCAGATATGTAAATAAAGTAAAAAAAATACTGAACATAAAAACAGATAGCCTCATCTGTTTCTTGAAACTTCAAGTTGGTGGGGAACAATGTTAATTAAACGGACGGGTGTAACAAAAGACAATCACTGAAATTTATTCGTTTTAGAAGCTCATTATGAATATCTTTTGTTGAGAGATGCTTATTTTAATTTATTTTATTTATTTCTTCATGTTTGAATGAATATACGAAATGTTAGTGTTCACACAGCAAACCTGCTACTCACCGCGAATAAGAATCAATTTTGTTTTTTTTTTCACCCCTCAATAGAAAGATGGGGAAGTAAACTGTTTTTAATGATACGGCTTTTTATTGCAAGTCTTCACCGCACAAGTATGCTCAGAAACTTTATTCTTAAGACTGATAATATTCAAGAGCAAAATATAATAGAATCAACCAATGTGTTTTTAT